GGAGGAGGAGGGAGGGTGAGCCGTAGCGGAAAAGTGCCCTTCTGAGTGCGGAAAAGAGGCAGCAAAAGATACCATCTTCAACGAAGCAGCGATTTCTTCCTCCAGAGCGTTGGAAAGACAAGCCTCCCACGACAAGTTCCGCCGCCGCTTCTTCGTCCGACGGCACTAGCCATGACCCTTACCTTGCGAATAGATGGAGGGATAAGCCCCGATGCGGCCCAATAATCAACCTGGAGGTAGGCTATCATGGCTCCTGCTGAGCAGCCGGCGAAGACAAGCTCTTCTCCCTTGTCGAGACCCCTGACGACCGAGAGACGGGAGAGAAGAAGGGGAATTGAGACATGAGAAATGCCGGACCAGAGGACATCAGACGCCTTTTCCAATGTCTGCCAAGGAAGTTGCAGGCATAGGAATCAAAGATTGATCGGATTTCTCCGGTGCATGGCGCCTCCCTCCCTCCCTTTCTCACTCCCTTTTGCCTGTCCTCCTCTCTTCCCACCCTCCCTCCCTTCTCCTTCCTGCCCCTCCCTCTTCCTTCCCCTGCCTCTCTTGGGCGAGTCCTTACATGAAGTCTGTCAAGTCTCTCATGATGGCCTCTTGGATGAATTTTCCTCGAAAATGCAACCTGAGGTCGTGCATCTAGCAGTTCCAACACGGAAACATATGAAAAGAGACAAATCAAAACACAAAAATGAGGCCGCGCCAGGACCACCACATCCTCTCTGTCCTTCGTCTGTCCCGCATTTGCGACGCAAATGTTCAATGGCCCAAAAAAAGTCTTTCTCTCCCTCTTCATTTTTATTTCCACCCTCAGTCCTCCACCTCTCCTGCTCCTCCCTGCTCCTCCCTCAATCCTTTACCTCTTCGGTATCCATCGTAGCACCCGACCAGAAGTTTCCATCGCAGTACTGTAGGAGATAATGATGGAGTCCGCTATGAGTAAAAAAGCAGTACCTTCAGTATTCCGTCGGTCCTATTTTCCCAATCTACTCGAATTGAGACCCCTCTTCGAAGCCTAAAGCCGAAGAGAGATCAGAAGTCTCCTGTGTTCAAGCCTTTTCCCTACCTTGACGAAAACAACGTTCCAATTATGCAGGCCTGGATTCGTCTCTGGGTCACTCGAGACCATATCCCATTCCAAGGCTACCGAGGGGAAGGCGGGGCGGGAACCGTGGGTGTAAGCTCGCAGGCCTCCATCAACCTCCTCATGCGTTCCGGGTCTCGGACCCATTTCCACGTATACACGCCGGCATTCTCCAAGCACGGACTATTTCTATCAAGCCCTGCCAACCCGCTCATTCTCAACCGAATCTCCGACACAGATTCCTCGTCCCCTCCCCTTTCCCCCCCCCCCCCCGAATCAATCACGCACGCCTCCCTTCTCACCCATCGTATCTTCGTAAGTGTGACTGGAGCCCAAGTGAGTTTTGGCACGGTCATAGCACTCATGCTTGTCAGCGCACCATCCTCCACCTATTGAATTTTATTCAGCCAAAAAATGTGGCGTATGTTGATGGAGAAAGAATTCGTAAGCATCGACTTTGCGTCAAAAAGCACAGTGTACGAAAAACGGCCAGCTAACCTTCGTAAAAGAGAATCCATTTCCGAGCACCGTCTCCCCATCCTGGTCGATGATAATATACTGCAGAAAATATGTCAAAGTATCAAATTGTAGGGTAAGAAGTGGGTGTGCCTTGAGTCATGATATTTTTTCCTACTGTGCGTCAGCCAGGTGCCCTGCCTACTAACCTGGTTTGGAGCCATCCAGGCACTTAGCCCTCTCGTCATCCAACCAAATTCCTGGAACAAAGACAGTTTCATGCCCTTCCGCGTGCGTAGGCTGCAGTCTTATTCCCATACAAAGCAAAAGGCACCCAAACAACAAATTGAGAGGTCCTCTTCTTGGCGCTTTCCATCTTCCTTGCAGCATAGTCGCAGGTATGGATTAGCTAAAACACCAAGACAGCTTGAATGTGAATGTACACTGCACAAAAAGTATTGTCCCTGTCAGGTATCGTAATGTGTCCGTGCGAGAAAAATGAAGTGTGGATGGTCGTAAACAAATGTTCGGGTCTTTGAATTCTGATTTGACACAATCATTTCCTCCCATTTCGAGCAGCTGAAGCTTTTTAAGTGTTAAAAACGCATACATATATATATATATATTAAATTTGGAAATTATTAGATTTAATCCAAGATTATAAGGGTGAAGAGATTGTCCATAAAGGGAAGAGAGCAAAAAGGAGGGAAGGCGTCGCAGAGAAGCAAACGTGTCCTGGACAGTCCTCACGTTGTCGAATCAGCAAAACAAGCTGAATGTGCGAAATGGTAGATAAGTATCGCTACTGAGCTACTGGCGGCAACGACCCAGGCACGTGATTTACAATGCAGCCAAAGCGCATTGCGCAAACCCCCACGACTTGCGGAGCTGATTTCTCCTTTCCTGCTGTTTCAAAATTTCAAAATTTAAACGCTTCAAGGGCGCAATCCGACCTGCATGGTCTTATCAGAAAAATGAACATCAAAACCCCAGCGATGAGCTAGACGCCGACTAAAACAGTGACAAATACATGAGAAAATGAAAATACCATTCAGAGAGTCAAAATTCGAAAAATTATGCAACGTGAAGTGTAAAACAAGCTCCTCGACGGAGCATGGCCTGTAGAGAAAGAGCTATAGATATTTAGAAGTCTTCGTTCTCGTCTTGACTGAGCGAAATTGCTTTAAATTGTCACCTATTCTGGGAGCACTTGTATTGAAAATTGAGATAAAAAATGGCTTTTTGTTCATTTTCAACGCGTTTGACTGACTTCCACAAACTAAATCGTCCAATGGCTATGGTCAGGCACACAACTTCAAAAGATCGACGAAATCTCTTTTAATTGCTTGACGAGAAGAATCGTAACAATCCTTCACAAGCACTTTCTTTTCACATACAGTTGGAATATGTCCATGTGCGCCGCTCACCATAGGATTTTAGGGCCTGTACATGGAAGCATATAATCTCTATTTTGCACCCTTGATCTCCTTGACACTTTTAAGTAGGCTGGGGAAAATGGCGAGAGGAAAGATCAAGCAATCGTTTCAAAAAACGAAGTTGAGCGTCCTCCTTCACGCACGAGAAAGGAGGCAAGTGCACAAACAAGGCGGCGCTGTGGGCATGCCCACGAGAAAGACAGAGGTCCATGGAACTAAAGTAGAGGTAGTTACAAACGAATCGGCCGGGATTGGATGATATCGAGACCTCGTCGCGGCTGTATCCAGGATCGGATTGGGACGGTGCATGCAAAGACTGCAAGATGGCTTGGAGTGGCATGGTGGAGAATAGCGAAAAAGAAGTGTCGGGGTTCGTTCGAGAAACAGCCTTGCCTTGTGGCTGGAACGCCCTTTCGTCCGGCATTTCGAAGGAAGCTTCATTATAACCTACCCTTTCAAGTCGAAAGCCCTTGATGTCGTTTCGTACACCCAGATGAACGAGTAAAAGATTGTCACTGTCGTTCAATCCTTCCTCCTTCAAATTCTGATGGATACCTTTCAGGGATTCCAAGGCTCCCGCCGCAGATGTCTCGAGAATCTGAGTGGTGAGTCTGTTTGTAACACCTGATTTGGACTTATGAGATAGATTGGTTGAGGAAAAGAAACAAAATGGAAACAGTGTGTGAAAGTGTGAGTCGCTCCGCTTGTAAGCAGACAGTCAGGGTTCACACTGCTGGCGTACTCTATAAATGCCACCCAACTGAGATAATGGATAGACGTGAGAAAAGGCGACGAAAAACTTCAAGTTTGCATTGTGTACAACATTTACCTGGTCGCTCAGGAGTCGAGCCAGAGTCTCTGAGGGGTTCGTTAGCACGCCCTGAAACGGCCCAAAGCCGGTCACGACGATTCGAAGCTGAGAGGGACCTTGGGGAGGAAGGGGAATCTGTTTGATTTCTCCTTTTCGAGAATTTTTTTCCCGAAATCTGGTATTTGCGTTGGACGAATGTGACGGCTTCTCTGCTGAGGCCCGCAAGGGCCTCACTATATATTGCGAAGGAAGGAAAGTAGGAGTGCAGACGGATGGTAAACTCGATAAGGACCGCAAATGACCGGGAGACTTGAAAAATATGTCACCATAGTGCCCAGATTGCCGAGGCCTGTAATTATATTATGTGAGGGACGCGTAATGGCTAAATTGGTATCCCTTTATGAAAATCTAAAATAAGTCATGCCTCTCGGAAAAAATCTGCCTACAAGCGTACCTCGATGAAGAAAAAAGCAGACATGGCGCCTGAAAAGCATCAGAAAGACGAGCTAGGGCCATGACAGCGATGAGAAACCTCCTCTTTACCTTTGACGGAGTCCATACCCATCGACTCGACATTGAAAGCTTCTGGTCAAACCGATGGAAAAGTCCTGTCTAAGGACGATATCGTTTCAACCGGCTGGGATCGGGAATTTCGTCGGGAGAGTGCGAGCCAGCCTTGAAATGAAACGAAAGTAGAGTGAGAGGCTTGAGCACAACAATTCCAGTATTCGCTAGACTGCGTGGCTTTCCTCCGCTTGAAAAAAGTGTCCCAGAGCATAATTTATGCCTTTTTCCCAAGGCCGTGATCCGCGGATATCCCAGCTCAAGGACAAACCGTTGCCGGCTTCAGAGGCGATTTCTCCCCTTCTCCCTGGCCCTTCCTACACCCACGCCTCCTTGATAGTTGCCTGGGCACAAAGGACTGATGCATACCATCGCATACATCTTCTTCAAAGCACAGTATAAAGACGGGCGGCGGTGATGTGTGATTGCTGGGGAGGTTGTCCTCACTCGCCTTCGCAGCATCGTAGCTGAGGGCTACGGACTGCATGTGCGCTTGGGAAGCCAAGCGACAATCGCAGCTTCACTCGCAATCAGGACTATCAGGGGCACAAGAGGAGGTGCGTATCCGACGGCATCGAAAGGAGCCGCATCAGGATGAGCATTTATGGCAAAAATCGAAAGGAAAGCAGCAAAACATGATGGCCCGGGAGCCCTGTCTTCCAACCGCGTTAGCCTTACCCCGTTCCTGCTTCACCTATACACGGTGTTTTTGCGAGGTAAATGCACACCATCACATTGGAGTCAAAGAAGGAAAGGGCCCGGAATGGGAAGAGAAATTGAAAGGGACCAGTCCACTGTCCCCGTGGTCCTCATCGGAAGCTCTACCTCTCCTTGCACCTCCCAGGAAAACGTATACTTGCTTCTCGCCAAGCTGCACGCCTTAATATCATCTTCGGAAGATCTTTTAGGATGCCAGCTGTCTGCCTTATTCGTATCAAATTCACTGAAAGCCTGTCCTATCTGGATGCAGCGTGAAACGGGGGAAGCCTTGGGGAATGCGGATCAAGTAGAGGACAGGGAGGAAGCGGGGACGGAGGGAAACGAAGAAAATAAAATCGCTGAATTTTCGCTAAACGACGGGCCAATATTATGGGACTATCACGGTTCGTAAGCCCGACGATAGGCGGGTTGAAGGCACGAGAGTAAGCGTCCTCCTGGAGTCAGCGCCAGTGGTGCCGCCCTTTTCCCCTTCTCATAAGTTATTTACGCTGCCCACCTTTACGTGCACAGTCGTCGCGCTTTTAGAGACGCCCGGGGGCCTGGCCTATGTCTACGACCTGGACACGCGCCTGGAGCCCTTCCCTTGCCCGGCCGGAGCGTACGTGAGGAAGGCGTTCAAACCGGACTTGCCCCTGAGGGAGGAGTACCGACAGTACGTGGGAAGGACGAAAAAGAGGGCGGGGAGGACTGGAGAAGGACGGAATGCACAGAAATAGACAGGACATGTGGAGGTCCTTCCATGCGATGCCCCAACCTGTCTTCCCCCTCTCCTTCCCCAGGCGCTTTCGACGGGTGTCTTTCTCTCCAGTCCTTCGCGACTGCTTTGCCTCGGATAGATCCCATATGCGGGCATTGGATGGCTCCTGGACGGTCCCACCGCCCCTATACCCGCCCATACGGTGCGTATAAAAGAGTGGAGGGAGGGAGGGAGGGAGGGAGAGAGGGTGGGGAGGAGGATTGGTAATGAAGAGAAAAAGGCAAGTAATTTAGGGGCTCTGTGGATCCCAAGGCTCGCCCTTTTTTCTGCGCCGACTTAGTCTTTCTTGTCCTTCCTCCTTACTTCATCCTTATTTTCGCCTTGTCGGTTCCCTCCTTCCTCTTCCTGCGTGTCTAGGGGCGCCAACTCCGCCTCTGCCATGACCCTGCCTGCCTTTTGGAAGGTGGACGAGGAAGAGGAAGGAGAGAAGGAGGGCGGGACGGAGGGAAAACTGGGGGAGGTTTTGTCACTCGGAGACTTGTTGAAACGTATAAAGTAAAGGGGAGAAGAAGACTGTGGGTGAAGGTGAGGGTTGGGGATCGGATCAGGGTTCCGACGGGGAGAGAAGCGTTTAAGCTCCCCAGAACAGAGCGATGACGGGGAGGGCGGCGTGAGGGAGTGCAGGGTGCCTGTGACATTTTCCATGGTTCGAGGGCATCGGCAAGGCACAGATGCGTGGGTAATTATTGAAACTGACGGCCGTCGATACACGTCGAAAGTGAGGAAAGTCTCGGAACATGTTGTTAGAAATGAATGCTGCAACGGGTTCAGCAACGTCTGCGAATAGATGGTTGGTATGATGGAGACACCGGGCAAAGAAGGCAGGGCATGCCCCGTCCCGGGCGTACGGTGGGGGGGACTACACAAAGAATACTCAGGCAGGATTTGGGGAGAGGCGGCCTCTCTCCTCTCTGTGCTGCTTTGCCTGCTTGGGATGGTCCCCTCCGATGCAGGGATTGGAGGTAAAGCAGGTGGTGGGAGACAAGGGCAACAAAATCACGGATGCAGGCCACTCGCGGACTCGTGATCGTGTGTAGGACTTAACACCTTTATATGCCTCTCTTATGCTCGATCTCAGAGCCCTAACGCAAAAGCGATGCTCGCCCTTCGTCGCCCGGCCCCTCCTTCGCTCCCTCTTCTCCCTCGCCAGCTCACCCCTTCTTCCCCCCTTGCACGTCATCATCTTCTTCCATGAACCCCATCACGCTTTCCCTCAAACAGGGAGGTAGCTTTTCCAACCTCAGTGCCTTCCTCCTTTCCCCGTCGGCCCCGATGGCTGCTTGCTCCTCCTCCTCCTCCTCCCTCCTCTCGTCCGCCTCGTCCTCCTCCCCCTCCTCCCTGCCCACATGCCCATTCCGCTTTGAGAAGGCTCGCTTTCCCAGAGCCCGTGCCGTGGGGGGAGGGAGGGCGTCGACTTCCCGGTGTGACCACTGGACGATCTCCCGCGTGCGTTTTCCTGTCCAAAAAGCAAGGAAGAGGCGAATGTCGAGGAAAAGGATGCATTTATACTCTTGAGATCTACGCCTCATGATAAATGACTCCGCACTGGCCCTCTTGTCTCCCTGTGGCACCCATTCCTCGGGCCCTAACCCCCCTGCTCACCCCGTTTCGCCCCTGCCTTGCGGGCTCGAAAACGTTCTCGAAAGTGACGCGCCCACTCAGGCGACAGGACGAGAAGCTCTTCTTCTTGGTAGTAGATACCTTGGAAGGATGATAAAAAAGAGATGAGGAACGAATCGAGAAGATTCATAACCGCGGCAAAGCCTCACCCCAGGGCATGGGGCCCTCATTTCCCTTCAGCCGGGCCCACGTACCTTCCCCAATGTCCCCCGCCTCCCCATCTTCCGCCGTCCCAGGTCTCTGCACAGGGAATGCGTTCGCCACGCTTTGCGCCATGTCCCTCATCGACGTACATCCACTTGCCCCGTCCCCAAGGCGCCGCTGCCCTCTCCTCCTGTCCTCGGTTGGGCCAGAGCCTTGCCTTTCCCCCCGGTGATCCCCTTCTTGCCAAGCTTGCTGGGCCGCCTCTTGACCCTGACAGCCTGACTGGCAGGGGGAGGCAACGTGAATCGTCTCGGAGGGGTTTACCTCTCTGGAGGATGAAGGCAAAGGTGGAGCCCGCGGGAGTAATTCTAAGGAGATAGCGGAGCGTGATGAGACGTGGAGTGAGAATTGTCACGGATTAAACAGAGGACCCTTTCTCCTTGAAAAACGCAGCGGTGTCAGCGTATACGTGTTCATGCCAGGTTCGCTTACCTGGGAAAGGAAAAGGAGGGGCAGGAGGTTTATGGCCGAACGGGAAAAAAGGGAATGGGGGCGTATACCAACGAGAAGCGAAGTGTCTGTCGCATGAACAAGAATGCGGTCGCCCTGCATGCCTGAATGGCATCGATGGAGTCGTTCGTGGCTGTGTGCGGGCGGTGTGTTGAAACATTCTCAAAAAATAGAAAATATGCCCTTTATTTATCATCCATTTGTGCAGACGAGGCAGTAGGCGAGGTAGCCAGGAGGTTTTGGCTATCCCTTTTCCAGCCCCCCCAAACGACTGCCTTTGACTGCCCAATGCATACCCACAGTTACTGTCGTGAGACTGTGCAGCATACGTTCGTCACAATTAATGGGGCCTGTGGAGTCTTTGTCATTCTGAGGCGGGCTAGGCTTGTCACGGGGATTTGGCAGGCAGAGAGCACACATGTCGTAGCCGCGACAAACGCCGCGGAGGCAGACGTTGGAAGACAGTATGGAGGTAAGTCCATGAAAGAGTTCATGCAATGTCCACTCTCTTTGTGTTTTCACACACCTTTTATTTGGCCTCCTGTCTCACATGTGTGTCCCGATCTCCTGTGACAGGGTCTGTTGCACTATCTTGAAGAGGAGGAGGAGGAGAAGGACAAGGAGGACAAGGAGGACAAGGAGGTATCAAATAAGCCGGAAAAGGGTAGTGATGGATCGAATGAAGCCGCAAAACCTTCCGGGTTGCCGAGATCGGCATCCACCATGGAGGATAATCGTGGATCTCTACTCCCTACGGCCTACACCAGCTTCGATAAGCGACTGCGGCTTCCCCGGCTAACATCCCCCCAAAAACGTCCCCGTGAGGGAAAGGGGAAGAATGAGGGCCCAAGAAAGGGAAAGAGGAAGGTGAAGCACGTGCGATGGGCGGATGCCGCTTTGCTAGAAGAAGTCTTCCCTTTCTTCATGGACAGCCCCGTCGGTAAGCTTATGGGAGGGGGTGGAATCGACGGCGGAGGAAAGAAGGAACGAGAGTTGACGAAGAGAGGACTTGTGAATTCCAAGGCAATACTTGGAGAAGTTGGTAGCTCCGTTCCTATTTGAGGAGCACGTTTCCCCTTTCCGTTCCCGCAGATCCCTTTGCTCCTCGAGGAGCCAGCGAGCCCTTGTCATCTTCCTCCGCCTCACCGGTCCATCCAGGCGAGCAGGAAGGATTCAATCCTTCGATGCAAGCGTTGGTAGCACACCCTACATCACCGTCCATGGGGGCTGGGACGCCCACACTCGATGGGGAGGCACGTACGGGGGAAGAGGTCGGAGGAGAGAATGGCGCGGGGTTCAGACACGCCTCCTGGCAGACCGTTTCTGTGGTCACTCGGAGGAAAGACATGCCTTCCTCTTCGCCGCCCTTGCAAGGGAGGTGGGCCCACCCCTTGCCCTCTTCCTCCCCCGCTCCTGACCCCGCCCGGCGGGAGAACGTCCGTGCCAAGGAGGACCAGGAGGAGAGCTCGGCATTCGAGTTCTTTTGTGACGCGTGCCTGTACACGCTGGAGGAAGATGAAGTACGGTACGTGACCGGTGTGGCTTCGCGCAGGACATGGGCCTGGATGCCCTCCACTAACAAAGCCAATCAATCCTCCCATCGGCCATCCTTCTGTCCATCATCCCATGATTAGATACGAATGCCAAGTGTGCCCGGGGGAGTTCTGCCTGTGCCGCACTTGTTACGCCAAGCAATTTCAACCATCGCCTTCCACACTTTCATCCACGCAAGCGACAACGCGCGTCGGCCCACACCCTCACCCTTGCCTGCCCAACACTAGCAAGGTCCACATCACTTCGATACCCAAGGGCCTTGAGAAAGGAAAGGAGCATGAAGAGCAGCCCTGGAATGAACACAGTGCAACTGTAGAGGATGGAAACATAAAGGAAAAGGAAGCTAGCGGCTTTATGAAAGAGGGAGAGCGAGACAGAGATAAGCAAAGCAATCAGGATGATAGCATACGGATGAGGGAGGGGGAGGCAACAGACACAGGATATGCTGGGGGAGAGGAAGAGGACGAAGAGGGGGGACTTTTGCTAGGTCCGGGAGGGGGCCCACGCTTTGGCAACTTAAAGTACACAGGTTCTCTGTAAGACAATAGTTTAGGTTGAGAAGAGTCGATGATTTATGGCTTTGACAGAAAAAAATCTTAATTTGAAGAACTTCTCTTGGTTTCATGAATACCTACATAATTTTAGCTCTGATCGGGACCGTGACCGCGTGTGGGAGCAGACAAGCCCTCTTTCGGTACTTTTTTTTAACTTCCCATTCAAGGGTGCGACGTCAGGTCGGCAAGTTGGAGAAATTTTGAGATGTAAAGGGACAACGTGAATAGAAAAGCATGAGCTAAGATTTTTTGGATAATTTTAGACATATTTTGAAGTGAAAGTACCGTGAGAAAGCTGCTAACGCTAACCCTCACCCGGGCCAAGTTATCGACGGATATTCGGAACTCCGAGGCAGGAAAATTTTGAATTAAACGGATTATTTTTTAACACACCGCCTTCAGCTCTACCTGCCCAGTCCATCCCTATGATCCGCCAGTGAACAGGCACGACCGACACACGTAGTATAATGAAGTACCATTCAATAATTTACTCAAAAAATCATCGGTAATGATAGATTCTGTGAGTTTAATCAATTGATGTGTTACACACGTCTTTCATTCTTCTATACTTCATATTGTACACACAGGAAAACACATACTATCCTTCAATGCTGCAAATTTTGTATGCTCAACCATTTATACAATGGTACTTATTGATTTGCATCATTTCAATGACAAAGACTTCTTCGATGCGCACGATGCATGGTGAAATAATTCCTTCCCTTCAGCTGCCCGTCGACCCTACCAGGACAGATGTAGTACCCGGTGATAAACTTATTCTGCTCAATGATTTATCACTAGAACAAGTTTATCTTCATCATTCTCCTTCCGCTGCTTTATCACCAGGAGAACTTGAGAATTCTGCCTCCTTGATACAGCAGGCAGCCCGTCTTGCCGCAGGAGCCTATGACGGAACCACAGGACATGCGTTGGGAGGTTGGAAAGTAGAAAGAACCTATAAAAACTTAAATTCCGTGGCAATGGTTTCCAGAAGATGGGTTTTTCCAGAGCAAATGCAGGGTTGTGCGTTGGCTTTTCGGGGCAGTGATGATCGACTGGATTGGAGGAATGATTATCGTGCTCGTCCAATCCCTATGATGCTGTGCGGCGAGGATGAAGGGAAGGATAGCTTCTTCCTCGACGTGCTGACAGGCTCGCGCAGCAATGCTGGATCCCAGACAGAAAGGGAAGAGGTACGCTTTCGTGCAAATCGCCGCGAACGCAATGAACCTTTTCGAAGAGCAGGCGGAGTAAAGGATGGCAATCGCAGCATGGACGAACTCGAAAGCAACCGACCGACCCAAGCGCGCCTACCACGGCTGTGTCCACGACGTCTCGGGACAATTTGGCTTCATTACGGTTTTTATGACTCCTTTCGCCTGTTGACTGAAGGGACGACCGTCGCACATGACTGGAAGGAGCTCTTCCGGAACGGGACCTGCGACCCCGGGTTGTCCATCATCACCGGCCATAGTCTGGGGGGCGCCCTAACAATCTACGCGTCCGTCTTAAAATGGCCAGGAATACCCATCACATTTGCTGCCCCTCGGGCAGTAATCAATGGCTCATGCCCCTCGGATTTAGAGCGGGAGGCGCGACTGTCGTTGGTCTCCATCCGGGGGGCCCGGGCGGAGGGAGTCGGACCGAGGACAGATAGAGCAAAGGGAGCCGCACCGGCGCATGCGCATTTGAAACATGACCTTTCTCTTCCAAGTTTTCCCTTGACACGGGTCTTTTTGACCGACGATCCTGTCCCCGCGACGTTGCCAGCAAGCGATGCGATGCGTCTGGAAGAGATCACCGGCGCCTGGACCCATTGTGGATGCGCTTTAGCACTTCAAACTTCGATCCCAGTCAGTTCTTCCCCGCAGGACAAAGAAAAAGGAGAGCCAGAGAGGGCACATTTCGCCGCGAAGGCACAAGGATGCGGGTCGAATGAGCCATTGCGACTGCCCTCGTTACTACCCACCCCGCAAACCATAGCAGACGCGACTCGTATTTCAAGGGAAGAGGAAGGTTGGAAAGCAGGTACAGAGAGAAATGTATTGCCCAATGGACTGTTGGCCCCCGCGGACTTGAAACGGCATCTGCACACGCGTTACGTGCACGCGGTGGACGAGGCCTGCGAAGGGCCGTGGGACAGCATGCGATGCATTTTTGACCACGAAATGCGCTAGGAAAGGTTTAGGCCCTTGAAAACGCGCCATAAGCAACGTTGAAACGTGGAAAGCAAAAGATTCCCTCGTTTTAGACAGGGCATTGTCCGTGCTTTGTCATGTTTATTCTTGAGTGGGTCGATTAATCGCTGTCGCTGCCGTCCTTGTCGCCCCGCAGGAAGGAGGAAAGCTGTACCGGGCCCGAGCTACCGGAGCCTTCGGTATCCGAGGAGGAAGAGGAGGAAGAGGAGGAGGAGGAGGAGGAGGGGGAGGAGGACGAGGACGAAGAAACATCTCGACGTCGCCTCTTTTTTTTCAGACTCCGTGGCTTTCTCTCTCCTTCTTGACCCTCCCCTGCCAACGGGACGCTCTCCGTCTCCATCTCCCCGCCACCGTCGGCCTTATTCTCCACTCTTTCTTGTCCTACTTCGTCGTTTCTCTGCCTCTTCTCACCCCTTTCTTCTTTCCTCCCTTCTGAGCGTTTGATCTCGTCCCCTTCCTCGGACGAGGAACGCTTTCGCTTCCTGTGAGATTTTTTCTTGTCCTCCTTCTTGTGATGCTTCTTCTTTTTCCCCTCCCGCTTCCTCTCGTCCTTCTTCCTCCCCTTTTTCTTCCTTCCCTCCTTCCGCCGACTCTTCTTCTTCCCATCCTTCTCCTCCTTCTCCCCACGGTTTTGAGCCAAACGCCGAGCCCGCTCTGCGTCCAGCTGGGCCCGATATTCAATCATTTTCCGTTCATCGGCACCTGCCTGTGGGAAGGGTAGGCGAAAATATCGATTCGTGAGCTATGTATTCAAAACATGGCGGGAACAAGGTAACGAGAACCTTCGCCCCACTGAAAAGCGGACGACAAGCTAATCCGGTCAAAAACCTGCGCAGGGCCCGTCCTTGGGACCCTTTCCCACTGCCACCCACCAGGTCGAGTTTATCGGCCTTCGCCTTCTTGTAATCCTCCCAGCTCGGTCGGTTGGGGTCGTTGATATTGTCGTGGATGGTCCGTTGTCCAAGGCCAGCTTCCATCCGAATCAACGCGTCGAATGCCGCGGAAGGTGGTGGGGCCCCCAGCGTCACACCTGGAATCACGGCGCCTGCCTTGTCTTTGCCCCCACTGCCGCGTTTTGCAGCGGCAGCGGCAGCCTGTTGCTGCTTCTTGAACGCGATCTCACGTTCATACCTTTGGTCGTCCAAGTGCCTGTCTGCGACTAAGTCTTTCTTAAAACCGCAACCCCGCCCGTCCGACGTCAACGCCCGCAGCTCCCGCTCGCGTTCTTTACGAGAAAGTTTCTTCTTTTTTTCCTCAGAAGTGGTGTCCGCCATGACAGGCCACAAGCCGACAGGACAAGGCTGAGGCCGCAGCCTTGGCAGGAATGGAAAGTCAGTCTTGCTGCTGACACTTGTGCGGCGCTCCCAGCAGAAACCCCACTTAGAAGGTACTTTCCCTTCAGCGATCCACCTGTCGACTGAATCAAGGTTGAGAAAGGAAACGCAAATGTAAATCAGAGCTGAGCCTTATGTATTCAGGCTTCCCAGTAGCTTAGCATCTGGAAGAAACCAAAAATGCAAGCCAATTTACCGCGTTAAAGGCCAGATGGTCGCACATTGACTCCCTCGGACACGCTTAATGACAAATGTGCGCGCGTACAGGCATTAATTAGTCGAGAGAAAGCCAGTGATCACGCAGTGCGGGACACTGCCACCAAGGCACCGAGGACTCGATATGGAAGCCTCCATCCTCCGGGTACTAGTAACTGTCCGGAATCTCCATACACGACCACACAGTCCCTAATGTCCATTCCCATCGCCGTCGAGGTGTGATCCAATATGATTGCCTTTCTACGCTATGTCACAGTAACGGGATTTAGGAGGCTTATGCATTTGCGGACGTGTTCGTTGGGACGTCGTACCGTCCTGGCTCCAAGCTCACCGTCAGATGGTTTTTGATAGCCATGAACGCGTTTACAAATTGTCTAGAATAAAAGCCATTAGAATGATGTACAAGAGGAAGGAGAATGACACAAACATGGTTTGCAATCAGTTTTCATTTTTATTTCAGGACAGGACGCCCCAAGTGTCTCTCCGTGTTCTGACAACGCTCACTCCACACTTTCATCGACACATAAGAGCGAGGCCCCTACGTACATCGTACGCCTCCTATAACAATTAAACTGCACTAATGGCATCAATGCCCGTTTGGCTCTGCATAAATTACCGAAGACGAACCAAATCACGACGTCGCAAGCCATAATTTTGTATGAAGTGACACACCTCCTCTGAAGGGACCTTTGGGACACCTCAGGGACCCATGTAGCACATTCGTTGACCGTTTCGACACTTCTATCCCCAAGAGCAGCAAGCCATTTATTTTACATACTAGGCCCCTGGAGAGCGATGGTCTGATATTCCTACTTTTTTATCACGCCCGATGCTGCGTTTAAGAGTGGCACGGCCTTCTGACAAACGTCTCCACACGCCTCCTCATGCGTAAATTTCAGCCCGTATCGATTCAACGAAAGGCTTCACAAGAGTATATGGCTATATAGCTTGCCGAATAAGGCATATCTCGCAGACCCAAGGCAACCTGACTGCTCTTTATTTCCCGACCATGCGAGTCCGTTACACAGAATGCGGACCCTCCGCAGACAAGATGGTGGGCATGGGAGGGTTGGAGGGCGGGAGCATCTTCAAGTATTTTTGACTCGTCACCCGCAAGACCGCGTACCCCAGACCGGCAAAGATAAGGGTGATCCCCACCAAGGCAAGCGCGCATTGCCACAGGCCATATTCGTCCATGGAATAAAGGGCCAAGACCTGCTCCCCCGTGCTCATGCAGCCTTTGCCCTCCGGATCCGGGCAGGCGAAGGTCATCCCCTTGAACTGATTGACGGCGAAGGCGTTGAAGCTCCACTTGATGAAGGACATGTAAGGACACCATTGCGCCCCCGTGGGCAAGCTCTTCACGTTGATGAAGACCCCGGAGAAGAGCAAGAAGACGATGGTGACAGGGGGGGCGAGGGCGGTGGCCGTGGGCACGTCCCGGGAGAGGGCGCTCACGACCAAGCCCAGAGCAACGGCGCAAATGGCTTCCAAAAGGCAGAAGCCCGTGAAGATCAGGAAGGCAGAGAGGCTGGGCTCGAGACCGACCATCCAGTAGGCAATACAGGCGAAGATGAAGGGCCCTAGCAGGGTGAAAGGGAGCTCGGAGACGAGCTGGGCGGGTAGGGAGGGAGGGAAGGAGGGAGGGAGGGAAGGAGGAGGAGGGAGGGAAGGAGGGAGGGAGGGAGG